TTCTTCTTTTTTTTTTTTTTTTTGTCAGTTGTGGGGCCTGAACTCTGGGCCTGGGCACTGTCCCTCAGCTGTTCAGCTCAAGGCAAGCACTCTACCACTTCTGGCTTTTTCTGCTTATGTGGTGCTGAGGAATCAAACCCAGGGCCTCATGCCTGCAAGGCAAGCACTCTACCACTGAGCACCTTCCCAGCCCTCATCTGATTTCTATAGACCCACTCTCTCCTCAGAGACTGCATCCTTCTAGCTCTTCCCTTCACCATAGCTCTTGGCTAACATATTTACCTGGTGAGAACATTCCTAAGAGTTGCTGTCACTAGAGTGACAAGCCTTTCAGGTCTCCCAGGCCCAGGTAAAAGATACTTTATATTATGTAGATGACTTTGGGGAGCAAAAGACAAATTCTCCACATCAAGGTCATACTGTCCCCAGACTGAGTCAGGTCTGAAGTACTACAGATCTAGTCTAGCTTGAAAGGAAGGAACAACAGTGGGACTAGATGCTAAAACAGGTAGAAAGTAGATTATGTCACACTAGAGTCCAGATTACTAACAGCCTCTCTACTAGGTCCTCTTGTGTCTGAGTCATTCAGTCTCCTCATGGTATTCTAGTTCTATTGTAATCTATCTTCCCATTCTAGTTCTATGCTGGGAAAGCTAGCTCTGACGTAATGTTAAGGGGGGGACTCGCTAGACCAGCAAATCTAGACCCCAGAGTATTAACTCTTTCCTGCCTTTTCCTTGACTTTGTCTCCTTTTTTGGCCCTGATGCTACTAAGTAAAGCATGAAATATACATATCCACATCAGCTTTGGCCCTCCTCTGTGAGGAGCAATGTGTACAGATATATGTACAGCAGGACCAGCACCACCCAGCAGTGTTCTTCAGCTCCTACGCTCAACTTCATCCTTTGATGTCGTCCCATAACCTACCTATCATGAATGAATCTCATTTTTTGCAACACAAACATGTTCCAAATTCCTCTATCAGCACCCCAGCTGAAACAAACCAGACATTAGGGAGTCCCATCTCTGTTTATTCTATTTCATTTGATCAATCCCACTTTTTCATAATGGCATTATTTGGGGGGAAGGGAAGTAACCCAGAGAAGAGAAAATGTAATACAGTCTACGAAATATTTTGGCTCCTTTTAGTTCAATTTCCTGCTACTGTTTTCCTGGAAGTATCTTCCCCCAAGGAAGGCAGCTTAAACAGTGTGTTCTTAAGTGGGCTGTTCGAGTCCTTAGGGAAAGTCTTCCAGTCACTTATTCTGTGAGACACTGTGTGGTCGCTATTGTGTCTCCATGCAGAAACCACCACTGTCCATCTTGAAGAAGCCACAAATGCATCATGGATGCACCATGTCCCTCCTATTACTCTTCTGTATAATTATTCAGTCTCTCTTGTGTCACTTTGGGTCTTCTTAGAAGCAGCTTCCAGATGGGAGTCCGAAGTGGAAGACAATTATTTTGTACAAAAGTCAATTCAAAATGTATCAGAGAGCTTAATGGAACTACTAAAGGAAAATACAGGGAAGACACTTGGAACATTCATGTAGAAAATCAGTCATTAACCTCATTAAAATTATATTAAAAGCCAAGTACCCGTGACTCATGCCTGTAATCCTAGCTACTCAGGAGGCTGAGATCTGAGGATTGCAATTGGACAGCACCCAGGTCCTGAGTTCAAGCCCCAGGATTATCACACACACGCACACACACACACACACACACACACACACACACACACACACACACACATTATGTTCAAAGAGAGGGGAAGAGGAGATAAGAAAGAGAAGTAGAGGGAGTCAGTATGCTCAAAGCACATTATAACTACATATACACATACTACAGTGAAACCTCTTATACAGTTAATATACATCAATAAATAAAAGAAGTACAGTACTTTTTAAAAAGATAAGTCCAGTGCAATATACACATGAGAGTCAGTAAGAGGGGAATTCCTTCCAGTTGCAAGGCAGGCTCACTGTGAAGAGAGAGGCAGGAGGAAAGTGGAAGAATTGAATAGGAAGACCCTAATTCCATTTAAATCCTGCTGTGCTCTGTCATTGGCCGTGCCTGAGCAGGAGAGCAGGGATTGGCTCACATACTTGAGAGATACTTTAGGATAGAGATGTTGGGAACCATGTCAGCTAAATCAGTGAGCAGTGCTCACAGAAAGCTGTAGCAGCATATCCCCATTCCTAACACAGTCCTGTTGGTCAAAATTTAGCTTCCCAGGGAGCTGTGTCTGTTTTTTGCTGTGTAACAAACAACAAACAACCCTAAAACAGTGCACTGAAGCTTTAGTACAAATGACTACTGGATCCAGGCTAGTCATAAAGACTTTGGCTCCTTTTCTTTCTTTCTTCCTTTCTCTCTCCTTTTTCCTTCCTTCTTTTCTCCTCCTTCTTCTTCTTCCTCCTCCTCCTCCTCGCCTACCTCTTCCTCCTTCTTTTTGGTCTCAGAAAGGCAAAATTAACTTGTGCAAAAGAGTATACCAGCAAGTATCAAGAACTTGAACGAGATTTAGGTTAAGCTCCTGTTTTTGTCTCTTCTTTGGTGAAAAGGATTTTAGTGTTTCCAATTTGTCTCCAAGGACTTTAGTGTTTCCAATTTGGCTCCTTGTAAATATTGCCAGAAGTCTGTTACCACAGCACCTGGATACAACAGTAAATATGACAGCAGTCATAAGTCACAAGAAATATTTGAACACCACTTTATATCCAGTTTCCTAACTGGCTTATTTTTTACCAGAAGAATAAGTTTCATATATCAGCTGGCTAGTGTTAGATAGTCAACTGATTATTCCATTAATGTATTCACAATCAAAAGTACTAGGTCTTACAGATATTTCACTTTGACAAGTACATAAATAATTGAGGGCAATTTTATTATCTAGAGCCATTTTAACTCACACCTTTACAGGCATGTACTCTTACTGCTGAGTTGAGCCTCCAGCCTTCAACACTTACAGTGGTTCCCTGGGCCTCTAAAGTTTGCACTGTTGTTTTATTTACTTAGGTCATAATTGAGGATTTAACTTGGAAACATCTAGTGAAGATTAAGAACTCTTGGTCAAAAATAGAATTTTCTCAAGTAGAGATGTTATCCTATATGGTATTAAAAAATATGAGCAGCCACGTGCTGGTGGCTCATGCCTGTAATCCTAGCTACTCAGGAGGCTGAGAGCTGAGGATTGCGGTTCAAAGCCAGCCCAGGCAGGAAAGTGTGAAACTCTTATCTCCAATAAAACAAGAAAACCATAAAAGGTGCTGTGGCTCAAGTGGTAGAGCACTTGCCTTGAGCTGAAGAGCTCAAGGACAGTGCCCAGGCCGAGAGTTCAAGCCACAAAAGGCAAAAAGCCACAACCAACAACAAAAAAAGAGCAAAGCCAGGCACCAGTGACTCATGCATGTAAAACTAACTACTCAGGAGACTGAGATCTGAGGATCACGGTTCAGTCACCCTTGGCAGAAAGATCTGTGAAACTAATCAACCTTAAAAAAGCTAGAAGTGGAGCTGTAGCCCAAGTGGTAAAGCACTAGCCTTGCCCACAAAAGTTTGGATAATGCCCAGGCTAATTTCAAACCCCAGGACTAGTAAGGCGGGGGGCACTTTCTCCACTGTGTGTATGGGGAGGGGGGCAAAGGAGTGTTTAATCTATGAGACAGTAATGCAGACCACACACAGTCCAAAGCACTGGCCTGTAATAGTAAAGACAGACTCAATTCACAGTGATTTTTGGATAACGTGGACAGAGGGAGATTTACAACACATCTCCCAGAGTCACAAAGCATCACATGGCAATCAAATGAAGAAGTTCTTCCCCAATATAACATCAGGAAAAAAAACCCACACACCACACTACAACATCTCCTAACATCAATCATCAGACCTCTCCCACAGCATCTGTTGACTACAATCATGAATTCTTAAAGCCAAATTCAAGACAAAGGGATATTTGTTTCAAAACTCCTTACCTTTTTCAACAAGAGCTAATTGATGCAATTAAGCAAGCAAGGAGAAAAGGGAACCATAAGTACTTCAAGGAAAGTATCTTCACAGATTCTGGAGAAAAATAGAAGAATATTGAGAAAATCAACGAGAGCCAAAGAGCCCGCACAGATGCTGCTAGTATCTGTTGGTGCGTGCCATGTGCCTCTACATTTGCCATCCCTATCACACACATCAGAGTATCCTACCACATGTCAGAGTACTTACCACATGTTACAAATACAATGCAGGGCCAGATGTGATGGCACACATCTGTACTCCCAGGAGGTAGAGGCAGAAAAATCATGAATTTCAGGCCATGCTGGGCTATACAGTAAAAACTTGTCTCAAAACCAAGAGGGAAGTCTCTCCGTTTGAGCACCCAAAAAGCTTGACTATTTGCCTGCTTGTCTTTGTCTGCTTGCTTGTTTACTCAATAAAACTCTGCCAAGTTTTCTTATCATTAAAGTAAATGCTCAAAGGAGAGAATTACAGTACAATATATACAATATATATACAACATATATATCATATACATCCAAGATTCCACATCATTATATCGTTCATATCATACTACTTAAACACCTCACAGGGTATAACCAAAGCAAATTACAATTTCATGCCTCTCATGTTCTCACACTTTATCCATACATATTCCCCTCAACCATTTCTTTCAAGAACAGTTCCCTTTCCCCCTTAAGAGCATCCAAGGATCCACCTGGCACATCCAGACAATATCTCTCAGGGCCCCTACCTTTCTGATTCCTCTCAGCTCAAGAAGATGCATTTGATCAACTCGATCATTCCCACCAAAGATCAGAGCTGTGATGAAGGCAATCAGGATGTGAACTCAACAAATACCACCCCACCACCAAGAGGGATTCTACAGTGAGTTGTGTCATCCAAAGGATTCAGTGTAGTTACAGAAAGCCCGGGGCATCTGTCAGCAGGACCAGCCTACAATAGCCTCCTCACCTTGAGCCAGTAAATAGGATTGCTGATGTGGTCAATAGTGGTTGACAGACCTGAAGCCTGATTAGAAGGGGTACTGACAGGACTAGTCCCTGGCCCCTGACAATCTATCCTCAGGAAGCATGACCAAGATCCTGTCCCTAATCGTTTAGCAATTGACCAGCTTTCTACTCCCAGCCACATGGAGCATCCAGAACTCTGAAGCTACTAGGAGCTGACAAATAGCCCTGTTTCCACCTGACCACTACTATCACCTTCTCCACCTTCCAGACCATCTGTCTTGACATAGTGCCCAAGCCTGAGCTTTGGACTCAGGGAAATGGGCTGAGTCAGAGCTCAACTTGTTCCTTCTGAGTCACATTTTCTGTTTGGGTTTTTTTTCCATTAACCCCTAGCAAAACCCTCAGACTTCCTGGGAACCAAAGTTTTAAGTTATATACCCTAAAGGTGACCCATGGGGGGAGTGTGCAAAAAGACACTTACCTGTCCCATTCAGTGTGATGTTGTACCTCTGGGGAGTATCCAAGGAGATGTGCCATACCACACACTGGTAGGTAGTCCCAGAGTCTTCCCCAGAGGACTTTATGTTCAAGCTGCTGGTAATGTTAAATGTACCATCTTCATTCTTGAGAAAGGGACTCCTGGTGATGTCCTTAGTGACTTCTTGAAACTGGGGAACCTTTGGGAGCCTTTTCTCCCATGTTATATTAGTGTTGGGAGGGTAGAACCCATTTGCCTCACATATAAGATATGTTTCTTCATTATTATTCACTGTGTGCTTCTCTTCAAACAATTTGCTGTGTGGCAAAGCTGTCATGGAAGAGAAGGTACATAATTAGGATCAGGACCAACACACAGTCCCCCCCACTCAACCTTACCCTCACTGACTTCTATGATACCTGTACCCCTCTGTATTACTCTTATTATGGCCAAGCAAGACAAAAAACATCAGATATCCACTTTTTTTTTTAAGATGGAGTCTGAGACATAGATAATGCTGCAACCATGTCCAGCATTAGGCTGGAGACCCATCAATTCCAGACCAGACTGGGAACTCCTTGATGGTTGGTAGGAACTAGCTCACTATCAGCCAGATGCTTGAATGGGGTTTTACTGAAGCTAAATATTCTGAGTATGTTAGTGCCAGTGTCAGTAAGATGCTGGCATAATGTCACCTCACCTTCACAATAATTTTCTTAAGCTTTACACAGTAAAGTTTCTTGAGCTAGTTTGTGTTAGACACAGATTCTTCAGAATCCAAAGAAAGCCTTGGGATATTGGTATGGTAGAGACTACTAATTCTAAGCATTTTTAACTGGACGTGATACATTTAGAGTAAAGTTACATCGCCAATTTTTACTGCAAGTGGGTAGAGCCATGTAAACATAGGGTCTAGTAGTTTTGGATATACTCAAAAGTGGAAACATCTCCTAGGAAGTATCCTTAAATAGAAACTGTGGTAGTGGTGAAAGAATAGACCAAGAGATCAATGGGACAGAACAAGAGGCCCAGAAACAGGCACACACAAATATAATCCACTAATCTTTGACAATAAGTAAAAGCAATTCAATGTTGAAAAATGAACTTTGTGTGTGGGAGGGTCGTTGAGGAGGGACGGGATGGTAGGGGAAAAACAAAGGAGGAGGCAACAATGCTGGATAAGAAATGTACTCATTACCTTGCTCATGTAACTGTAACCCCTCTGTACAGTATTTTCAAAATAAAAAACTTATTAAGAAAAAGAAGTAAAACCAAGTCAATAGAAAAAGTCTTAAGAAAAAAACAAATGGTGCTAGAATTATTGGACATCTATCCATATGAAATAAATACACAAAAAATTTAGACAGAGACATTATACCTCATAAAAATTAACTCAGAATGAATCACAGACCTAAATGGAACAATAAAATATCTAGAAGGTAACATAGAAAAAAATCTAGATGGCTGTGAATTTAGTCATGTGTTTTAAAATATAATGCCGGAGCTGGGACATAGCTCAGTGGTAGACTTTGTCTTGCATGCATGAAACCCTAGGTTTGATCCCAGCCACACCAAAAAGGAGAAAAAAAGAAAGAGAGAGAGAAAGAAAGAAAAAGAAATAAGTACACTGGTGCCAAAGCATAAATTATAAAATAAAACTTGATAAGTTGATTAAGAACTTCTTAGAGCCACTAAATAATCAGCAGGGAGATTAAAAATTTTAAACTTGGGGCTGGGAAGGTGACTCAGTGGTAGAGTGATTGCCTTGCATGCATGAGGCCCTGAGTTCGATTCCTCAGCACCACAAAAGCAGAAAAAGCCTGAAGTGGCGCTGTGGCTCAATTGGTAGAGCACTCACCTTGAGCTGAAGAGCTGAAGAACAGCACCCAGGCCCAGAGTTCAAGCCTCAGGACAGACAAAAAAGTACTGTATCTAACACATAAAAAGAACTTTTAAAAAGCCAGTAATAGCTGGGAGTGGTGGTGCATGCCTATAATTCCTGCTAACTGAAAGATTCCCTAGGGCTCAGTGAATGCCCCACTGGATCTCAGCAGAAATATTAATAGAATAGTATCAGATTATACCCAACACATATTACCCAAACTGCAAAATAAATACTTAGAGTTCTTGTTGATACAAATAAATGATCTAATATATCAATAAAGAAAGACATCTCCCATGCAGAGATAAATTAATATCCAATGAAGTATGTCCAGCATCCTTTTATAATAAAAATTCTGAAGAAGCCAAGAATAAAAAGGGCATATCTGAACTTAATAAAGGCTATATATGACAAACTTATAGCCAACATTCCCTCTAAATTCATTTAGGAACAAGATAATGGTATCCACTTTCTCTATTTAATATGGTGCTAAAATTCCTAGACAGAGCAAGACAGGAGAAAGATATAAAAGAGATTCAAGTAGGGAAAGAAGATGTCAAATTTTCCCTATTTGCAGATGGTATTTTCCTATATTTAACACACCCCACAGACTCCACCAAAAAACTTCTATATCTAAAAAACACTTTTAGAACCATAGCAGGATACAAAGGCAACACTCAAAAATCAGTTTTCAGTACACCAACAGTAAACAGGCTGAGAAAGAAACAATCCAATTCACAGTAGTCTCAAACACAATAAAATACCTAGGTATTAACTTAATCAAGAAGTGAAAGACTTCTACAATGAAAATTATAACACCCTGAAGAGAGAAATTGAAGAAGACACCAGAAGACAGCAAGACCTCCCAGGCTCATGGATCAGCAGAATCAGCATTATGAAAATAACTATCATACTGCCAACAGAGTCAAAGTAATACCTACCCAAGTCATTCTTCACAGAAATTGAAAACAATCCAAAAATTCATATGGAAGCATAAAAAAAAACCAACTAGCAAAAACAATTGAGTAAAAACAGCAACACTGGAAATATCACAGTACAGACTTTAAATTATATTAAAGACATAGTAATAAAAACAGGTTGGTATTGGCACAAAAAAATATGCAGCTATCCTATCTCAAAGGAGATAATTCCTTACATTCTAAGTGTGGGCTGCAAAGAGTGCCATCCTTTCCAAGACTACCATATGGATATAGCATAAATGTAAACAGGAAAAAGTAATTTCACAGTGAAGAGACTAGACAAACACAATTTCACTTAGGGCTTAAGGTCAACACCAATGTCACAAATTACAGGGGTTGTGGGGGTAGCTCAGAAGAGCACTTGCCTGGCAAGTGCAAGGGCCTGGGTTCCATCCTCGGCTCTGAAAAACAAAAAGAAAGAAGAAAGAAGGAAGAAGAAGAAGAAGAAGGAAGAGGAAGAAGAAGACGAAGGAGGAGGCAGAGGAGGAATAGGAGGAGGAGGGGGAGGAGGAGGAAGGAAGGAAGGAAGGGGAGGAGGAAGAAGAAGGAAGGGGAGGAGGAGAAGGAAGAAGGAAGGAAGGAAAGAAGGAAGGAAGGAGAAGAAGAAGCTAAAAAGACCCAAAATGAAGAAAAAAGGCAACAAATTATGCCATTTCATGGGATGTGAGGAAAAATACTTCACCTCTGTGATCATCCTCCAAAAATCAAAGCCCCAATCTAGCAAGAAAAACAGTATGGATACCCAATAGAGTGGAATCCTACCACATACTGAGCCAATACTGCTCAAAGCTGTCAAGAATATCAAAACAAGGAAAACATGAGAAATTTATCATAGCCAAGAAGCTAGGGAAACATAACAAAAGTAAAGTGATATTCCAGATGGGATCCCCAAACAGAAATGTGTGTGTGTGTGTGTGTGTGTGTGTGTGTGTGTGTGTGTGTGTGTGTGTGTGTGTGTGTGTGTGTATAAATAAGAAAATTTGAATACAGGCCCTAGTAGTAATTAATCAATATAAGTACCATATTAATGATAGGGGAAATGGTATTCAGGAGTGGGAAATAATTAAGTTAAAATGAGGCCATCAGTATGGAGCCTAATTTATTATAACTAGTGGGCTTATACAAATAAAGGAAGCAGGACACAGATATATTCAGAGAAGAAAGACTATGAGAACTACTTAGGATCTGACAGCCTTAGGAGGGAAGCTTCAGAAGATATCCTGCTGACACTTTGGTCTTGGACTTTTAGTCTTCAGGATTGTGAGAAAATAGACATATTAGTTAAGCCAACCAGTTAGCAATATCTTGTTATGGCATCCCTAGAAAATAATATATTCACCAAATACATCCCTACTTTATAACAGAATAAAGAAGAATTCAATAAAAGAAATGTTGGAGTGGGATGTGGTGGGCACACCCATAATCCCAACACTCAGGTAGCTGAGTCAGGAGGATCATGAGTTTGAGGTCACCCTGGACTATATAGTAAGACTTGTCTCCCCCCAAAATGTATTTGAGAGCTGTTATAAGCCTACCCTGGGAACCTCCCTAGCATAGAAGAGGCACTTAGTGGGACATTTTCATACATTATCTTGGGAAAGTTCTGATCCAAAGATATTCCACAGTTGGCCCAATCATTCAGTGTGCAAATAGCAAAGCTGGAATCGAATTCTGATCTATGAAGTCAGATCCCAGCATTTCTCTCCCTTGCCAGCTTCTTTTATTTCTTCATTGAAGACCCAGTGTCCATACAACAGGACAGTTATTTAACCACTATGGCTATTACTTCTTTTTTTGTTTTTTTGTTTTTGTGGGCCATGGGGCCTGTACTCTGGGCCTGGGCACTGTCCCTCAGCTTGTCAGCTCAGGGCTAGCACCCTACCACTTGAGCCACAGTACTTCCTGCTTTTTCTGCTTATGTGGTACTGAGGAATTGAACCCAGGGCCTCATGCATGCGAGGCAAGCACTTTACCACTGAGCCACCTTCCCAGCCCCGGCTATTACTTCTTAAATATCTGCAACAGACTGAGCCATGATGCTAAGCTTTTCACCTGCATTTTTCATAGACTCTTCCCTATTTAGGTAGATATTGTTTTGGGTAAATGAGAGGGGCACTGAAATTCAGTTATTGAGAACGCACCTGAGGCTATTTGTTTATAAAAACCCACATCTAGACTCAGACTCTAAACCCTGTGCTGTACTTGGCCCATCTGCAGCGCCACACCAAGCTCCAGCACCATGGGAACAGGACATTGCCCTTAGGTACCTACCCACAACTTTTACCAAGATGGTGCCTTCTGCCTTCTGAGGGGTAACTGTCACCTCACATCGGTATTCTCCCTCATCTCTCAACTGGACCTCAGGCAACTGTAGTGAGGCGTCACCCCTCTTCAGCCCTGTTGGAGACACCATGGCCCCGGGTCTAGATGATTTTAGATTATCTCCATGAAACTCAAACACCATGCTCTCTGATTTAGACATCTGACTCGTACAAAACCACCTGATCCCCATCATTGTGGTATCCAGGTATGGAGAGCCAGGGATTATGCAGGCTATGGTGACATTGTCATTCAGGGACACCGTCTGTGTCTTCCCTGCCATCTGCACTTCCAGGGAACCTGTGGCAACAAGAGACATCTTGTTATGAGATCCTTGGTTCTCTCATACACTAGCAAGTAATCAACATTTCTTGGAGTGGGCAGAGAAGGACTTAATACAAAAGCTTTCTTAGTAATCCACATGAGATGTTTTTCTTTCTTTTTCAAGCTTGTTTTGACTGCTGTAGGTTCCATGTAATGCCATGTACATTTAAGAACCACCTTGTGGATTTCTATAAAGACGTCAACTGAGGTTCTGATCAGAATTGCACTGAATCTGAAGATCAATTTGGGTAATATCTTAAAAATGCTAAGTTTTCAGGCTGGGAAAGTGGCTCAGTGGTAGAGTGCTAGCCTTGCGTATGAGGCCCTGGGTTTGATTCCTCAGCACCACATACACAGAAAAGTTTGGCTGGGAGTGGCACTGTGGTAGAGCGCTTGCCCTGAGCTGAAAAACGGGGACAGCTTCCAGGCCCAGAGTTTAAGCCCTGCGATCAACAAAACAAAACAAAAAATGCTAAGTTTTCAGTCCATGTATGACATGTTGCTTTTGTTTTGTTGTTGTTTTGTGTGTATGTGCCTGTCCTGGGGCTTGAATTCAGAGCACAGGTGATGTCCCTGGGCTTTTTTGCTCAAGGCTAGCCCTCAACCACTTAGGCCACAGCCTCATTTCTAGCTTTTTGGTGGTCAATTGGACTTTCCTGCCTGGACTGGCTTTGAATCTCAACTTTTAGATCTCAGCCTCCTGAATAACAAATATTACTGCCTGATGAAAGTAAGACAGGCGAAAACTAACTTTACAACTTTGGGGGGGAGGGAGGATTGGGTGGGAGTGGAGAGAGGCTGGGAAGGGATGGGAAGGGGAAACAAAGGAGGAGGCTACAATGCTTGATAAGAAATGTACTCATGGGCTAGAAAGGTGGCTCAGTGGTAGAGTGCTTGCCTTGCATGCCTGAGGCCCTGGGTTCAATTCCTTAGCACCACATAAGCAAAAAGGAAAAAAAGCCGGAAGTGGCACTGTGGCTCAAGTAGTAGAGCGCTCGCCTTGAGCTGAAGAACTGAGGGACAGCGCCCAGGCCCAGAGTTCAGGCCCCACGACCAGACCCAAAAAAAAAAGAAATGTACTCATTATCTTGCCCATGTAATTGTAACCCCTCTGTACAGTATTTTCACAATAAAAAATAAATAAATTTTTAAAAAAGAAAGTAAGACAGGATATATTTACCATTTAAATCTTCTTAGATTTCTTTTGATAATATTTAATAGGTTTCAGAAAGTCATGGTCACTTATTTCTGAGAACTGTCATTACATAATTTTATTTTTGTGAGACAATCAGGGTGCAATTGTGTATCTGTGTGTCTCTGTGTGTGTGTCTGTGTGTCTATATGACAGTGCTACGACTTGAACACAGAACCTCAAAGTCTCATTTGGCTTTTTCAACCAAGGCTGATACGCTACCACTGAAGCTATACGTCCACTTTTGGCTTTGTGTCAGGGAATTGCAAATTAGAGTTGTACAGACTTTTCTGCCCTCACTGGCTTTGAACTGCAATCCTCAAATCTCAGCCTCCTGAGTAGCTAAAATTTCAGGTGTGAGCCACCAGTGCCTGTTTTTTAATGTGATTTCTTGATGAAGTAAATACAAGTCTCTTATTCATTGTTTTAAGTGCATACTAATTGCTCAAAGAGATGATACCATGCTATTTCATACATACATGTATTATATTCAAATCAGATTGACTCCCTTCTATGGTTTTCTCTTTCTCCATCCTCCCTACCCACTTATAAATGAACAACTTTCTGTGAATATCCTAGAACTGCTTACTCATCCCCTAAGGAGCCTTTCTTCTATGGACCATTTTCTTTCAACTTCTAGTAGCTCTCTTCCTCACAGCCCTCAAAACCCAACCTCTTTAATCCTTCCATAGCATCCGCTACCTATTATTATGTACAATGTATAAGGTGTCCCCAGGCCATGCAGGCCCTGTGCAGACACCTCCCAACTCTTGGCCCAGTATCTGGAAACAGTCACCTCCCCCTCCTGCTAGGTCACCTCCTGGGCCACCTCATCACCTGCCTCCCAATTAATTGATCTTGGAGGGTCCAAGGCCCTGAGTTCACATCCGATCCAGTGTGGCCACACCTTTCCCCCACCTGGCCACACCTCTTCCTGTCACTGGCCTAGATAAGTCCTGGCCTGAGGGTAAGGGGTCTCCCCTTTTGGGCCATGGGGGGGTGGGGAGCAGCTGTTCAGTAAATAAACTTCTTTTCCTGCCTGAATAGTGCGTTCTCTTAATTGACTACCTAATGAAACCTACCTACTTAATAACTTACACAATGTAATTTGAGATCTGAGAGTTGATAATAGTCATTGGGATAAAAGACTCAGGGGCCTGTGCTTATGCCTGTAATCCTAGCTACTCAGGAGGCTGAGATCTGAGGATCATAGTTCAAAGCCAGCCCAGGCAGGAAAGACCATGAGACTATATCTCCAATTAACCAACAGAAAGCCGGAAGTGGTGCTGTGGCTCAAGCGGTAGAGTGCTCGCCTTGAGCTGAAGAGCACAGGGACAGTGCCTAAGCCCAGAGTTCAAGCCCCACAACTCACACACACAAAAAAAGAGTACCTGTGTTGTGAACCACCTATATGACCTCATTAGAACTTACCGAGTTATTGCCAACAAAATTGCTTTAGTTCATTTTTTTTTTTTGGGGGGGGGGGGGGGCGGTCCGGTCATGGACCTGAACTCTGGGCCTGGACACTGTCCCTCAGCTCTTCAGCTCAAGGATAGCGCTCTACCACTTGAGCCACAGCACCACTTATGGCTTTTTTGTTTTTGCTTATGTGGTGCTGAGGAATGGAACCCAGGGCCTCAGGCATGCAAGGCAAATGCTCTACCGCTGAGCCACCTTCCCAGCCCATTGCTTTAGGTCATAAACTAAAGTTAACTTTAGTCAATAAATTCATGGCATGACACAGGAGTGTATGATTCCAACACAGCTCATAACGTCTATCATTTTCCTTTTCAGTCCCAACTTCCAGCAGAGATGAGGAAACTTTTTTCTGATCTGGGTCACTTGGATTTTTTTTTGAGGGGGTGGGGCAGCGGGCAGTGGTCATAAGGCTTGAATTCAGGGCCTGGGTGCTGTCCCTGAGCTCCTTCTGCTCAAGGCTAGTGCACTACCACTTAGAGCCACAGCACCACTTCTGGTCTCCTCATGGTTAATTGGAAATAAGAATTTCACGGACTTAACCGTCTGGGCAGACTTTGAACTTCTCTCTTCAGATTTCAGCCTCATGAATAGCTAGGATTACAGTCATGAGCCACCGGTGCCTGCACCTGATTACTTGGATTTTTTTTTTCCTGGTCAGTTGTGGGACCTGAACTCTGGTCCTGGGCACTGTCCCTCAGCTCTGCAGCTCGAGGCTAGCGCTCTACCACTTGAGCCACAGCCCTGCTTCCAGCTTTTACTGCTTATGTGGTGCTGAGGAATCGAACCCAGGGCCTCCTGCATGCAAGGCAAGCACTCTACCACTAAGCCATCTTCCCAGCCCCTGGATATATATCTTTTAACATGTTTATGGGACACACAAAATTATCCTGGCAGCCCACGAGAAGCATATCTGACTGTCCCATCAGGCACCAAATGATTGCAGTAAGCCATAATTGGCAGGGGTTTCTCCACATTCAAAAGCATGATACAACAGGCATTTCCATGCAGTTACCCCAAGGTGGCAGAAATACACAAGAGACCAGAGACTGCCTGAGGCACAAACAAGCCCCCCATTGCCCCCACTGCCAACACCCCCCCCCCTTCCATTCCTTTCCTCCTCACCTGTGGTGGGCCCATGCCACAGAGCCAGGCCCAGCCCAACTTTCCACAGGACACACCAGCAGCACCTTGGGGTCATCAGCCCACAGATGTGTGTGCAAGTTTCTTAGACCACTCAGTCCGACAGGTGCATTTGGGTTTACAAAGCCTGGGCTCCTCTGAGAAGCCCAGGAAGTCCTCTTCACTCTTCTTCCTTCAGGATGCACGAGCATCCAGGTGACTCTGTCTGTGGAGGAGCCCGGTGACCTGACTATTTGAGACCAGGAGGGCGGGGAGTGTTTAGGGGTGGCTGGCGAGAGGGGGAGGGAGACACAGAGTCCCGGGCTGCTCCAATGATGACTATGAGTCCTTAATACCCAGGTCTGTTCCATACCTCTGGGGTGACATTTTTTCCATTGGATGAAGTGACATACATAAATGAAATAGGAATGGATAAAGCTTTACTGTTTTAGATGACAACTTAGAAGGCTAGATATCGGGGGTTTTAGTCTCGGGGTATCTTGGGAACTTGGAAAAGCAAGAGCCAGGCTCTATCTGTTAAGGAGGGGACCCTAACTACCCTCTTCCCTCAAGAGCACCTCTAGCCTCTCCTTCTCTCTGGGGTGCTGTTGGGACTTGTTCTAGGTTGGTTATTCATTCTTTTGGCTCTTTGTCCTTGCCATGCCCAAACCTGTCTGGTTAGCTCCAGGATTTTAGCTGCTTGGGAGTCCGAGATGTAGCAACCTCAAAGCAGTCAATGTCATTATTCAGCTTTCCAGACCAGCAGATTTGGGAGGCTAAGGCTCAGATTCCACCTCTGCCTCTACCTCTGTCCCACCTACCCCTGCTCAGCTGTTTAGGAACTCCTGTATGGAGATGCTCTTAGTGGGAGGGGCAGGATCCACAGCTCCCACTTAGGGATGAACCCACTACCCTCAGCTGCCTGAAAACCCCTCCTCCAGGGTTGCACATAGCGTACACGCGCGCGCACGTACACACACACACACACACACACACACACACACACACACACACACACACACACACACATTTTTCCCAGGCAAGACCATAGGAGGAAAGACACTGATTTGGGGGCATTTTAAAGAAATTCTGTGCCCTGGGAGCTTCTTGGCCTCAGCTGGGGAGGGCATTTCAGTGGCCTCTTGCTTGGGTAGATTTGGTTATAAGGGAGGTTTTTTAACTAGGCAAGGTTAGTTTCAAATACT